TAGAAAATGCAGACAGGTATAAAAGAAGGAAAACAAACTTGTCAAACAATGAAGTGCATACATTGGCTTCCTGCTTGGTTCTGAAGGAGGCTGGGGAGTAAGGGCAGGGTGTGGACCAGTCTGGTGTACAGGTCAGAGCCACTCTACTGCACCCTCTGGGTGGAAAGTGTGAGAAAACTCACCGTGGTGTTTCTGGAGAAGGGCACTAATCATTTTATAAAGGCAGAGCCGTTGTGAAATGCCCACTCCCAAAGATCCTCACACTGGGGAATCGGTTGCAATACATAAATTTGGGGCTACAAACATTCAGACCATAGCAGGTTATATACTCTATTACAAAGATGGGGAAAGCTCCTTGACAAAAACACCCTTTTAAACTGGCACTCAGGAGGCAGAGGCAGGTGGATCTCTGTGAGTTCGACCCTGTCTCGGGGAAAAAAAAAAATTACGCTTCTAGGGACAGCAAGACGACAGAGCATGAAGGTGCTTGGTGCCAAGGCCTGGAGACTTGAATTCCACCCTGGCCTCCTATGGAAAGTTAGCATAGAACCGTCTCCACAGTTGTCCACCAGAGCCATGCATGTATGTACCTCCTCCTAATTAAAAAAATTTAGCTCTGAAGTCAGATGAGGTGGTTCACACCTATAACCACAGCAGCTAGAACCAAATACCATAGACCGAATATATTATATAAGCAACAAAAATTGATTTCTCAGTTTTGGTTCAGTGGGTGAAAGTGCTTCCTCCCCCCCCCACCACCACCACCACCACCACCACGACAGGGTTTCTCTGTATTGCTTTGGAGCCTGTCCTGGATCTCACTCTGTAGACCAGGCTGGTCTCAAAACTCACAGAGATCCACCTGCTTCTGCCTCCTTAGTGCTGGGATTAAAGTCATAGAGCACTATGCCCAGCAAATTTGGTGAATTTACTTACTCTATGGTGAGGGTCTGTGAGTGATAAAGACAAGCTAAGATAACCCAGTGCATTTTAAGGCAAAACTTCTTTAACTGGATTGGAACTAGGAAAAAAATATACCCAGGCATGTTGGCACAGGCCTTTAATCCCAGCACTTGGAAGGCAGAGGCAGGTGGGTCTCTTAAGTTTCAGACCAGCCTGGTCTACAGAGTGAGTTTCAAGACAGCCAGGGCTACATGGTGAGGCCCTGTCTCAAAAAAACAAAAGCAAAAATTGCCCAAATCTTTACTCTGCTGCCACAACAGAGCTCCAATGTGCTCAGTCTATTCTCGTTAGCCAGAAGTGATGAACAGAAAAATCTACCAAAAACTGGGTTTGTTCAAGAATGTCAACATTTTTCCATGCTTCTGCTTCTAAAGCATGGAAAAGGAAATAGTAGCTAGGGGTTCAAGGGAACACTACTGTCTTAATTGTCTTGTACAGACAAATATGGCATGACAACATGATTAGGACCACACCTGGAAAGGCCTTAGTTATGAGTTTGTGCTTATTGGTGGCATCACAAGTCTTTTTAGCAACAAGAACAAATAAGGTGCTCAAGTAGTAAAAGTAGAGTGGAGAAAAATAACCAACGTGATAGAGTAGAATGGAGTGGACTTTAAAAAATGGAGACCAGAGAGGGGTAAAAAGCCACTCACCTGCCTGGTGTGGGTGCTGGTGTCCATCTGAAATCCCAGCACTTGGAAGGCAGAGGCCTGGGCTACATAGTGAAACTGTCTCAAAATAAAACACCCAAAACAGTTCACAAAACATAATTTGTTCTGGGAGCATGCCTTCAAACACAGCAATGGGAGGCAGACACGGGCAGATCTGAGTTTCAGGCCACTCTGATTTCTGTGTAGTGCACTGGCCTTCCACAGCTATATAGTGAGACCTTGTCTCAAAACAATTTGTAAGGATCTTTCAGAACTAACCATTTTGTGCCCCCTGGTGGATAGTGAGTGAGACCAGAACAGTATTTGTGTAAGTCCAGTGTTTCACATCCCTCCCCCTCTTTTGGGGGGCGGGGGAAGGTGTTTAAAGACAGGATTTCTCTGTGAAACAGCCTGGAACTCTCTGTAGACCAGGCTGGTCTCAAACTCAGAGATCCACCTGCCTCTGCCTCCTGAGTGCTGGGATTAAAGGCGTGCACCACCATTAGGCCCACCACCTTTTTGAGACTGATCTATGTAGCTCTGGCTGTCCGGGAACTACATAGACCAGGCTAGCCATGAACTCAGAGATATAGCTGCCTCTGCCTCCCAAATGCTGGGACTGAAGGCATGTATCTGGACTGAGGCTGGACTAGGCCCAGTATCACATTCTTGTTTTTGGTAACCAAACAAAATAACCAGTGAGTAATAGCCCTAGTCATGGAACCTGACAAGGGTTTGATCCCCAGAAATTCACAAAGTCACCCTATTGACCTTTGTGTGTGCTTTGGGACACCTGGCTTCCTAACAATTTAAACAGAAAATGATAGAAATAGGGTCACACTTTCTAGCATAGGCTAGACTAGAACTCTAAGCAATCCTAAATGCTGGGGTTGGTCCCAGGTCAACCACGACAAAGTTCCCATCTTTTTCTTTTTTTTTTTTAAAGATTTTATTTATTATGTATACAACATTCTACTTCCATGTATACCTGCACACCAGAAGAGGGCACCAGATCTCATAACGGATGGTTGTGAGCCACCATGTGGTTGCTGGGAATTGAACTCAGGACCTCTGGAAGAGCAGTCGGTGCTGTTAACCTCTGAGCCATCTCGCCAGCCCCTCCCATCTTTCTAATACTGAATTTTAGACTGCTTCTGTTACTCAGCCTCTGCAGAAATCTCCAGAGATCACATATTCCAGCTTTATCTCAAGAAAGCGATCTATACAGAAGAGGTAGAATGACCAAATTCTAAAACACATTGGTGGCTTTCCCAATACATGGTTTCCCAAGAAACATGACAAGGTTTCGGGCTTCATGGACAGCTGTTTGTGTTCCAAAGCACATATAGGTCCCAAGTAAGACATCAGAAATAGTAAATGGTAGAATGGACGTAGAGGCTAAAAATATATCTTGGGTTGGAGTGGTTAAGAGCCCTGACTGCTCTTCAAGAATACCTGTTGGTGGAGTATGGTGGTGTTTGTTTTTTGGTTTAAGACAGGGTTTCTCAGTGTAACCTTGGTTGTCCTGAAACTTGCTCTGTAGACCAGGGTCTCCAACTCAAGAGATCTACTTGCCTCTATTGGGATTAAAGGTATGGCCACCAAATTTGATTCCCAGCATTCACAGGACTAGTCCTTGGGATTATAACACCATCTTCTGGCCCCCACAGGTAGTGCAAATATGGTATACAAACCCCCAAAACCTTCTCTTGGTAACAGATACTAGATCTAGTACCCAAGATTTCAGTCTGACATTAAGACATAAAACTGCAGCTCTCAGCCAGGTGGTAGTGGCGCACACCTTTAATCCCAGCACTCTGGGAGGCTGAGGCTGAGGCAGAGGCAGGCCAATCTCTGTTAAGTTTGAGACCAGCTTGGTCTACTAGAGCTAGTTCCAGGACAGCCTCCAAAGCCACAGAGAAACCCTGTAGACAATACCCCAACAAAAAAACAAAACAAAACAAAACTGAGGCCGTCTGGCATCTAACTCAGAGATGCACCTACCCTTGCCTCCTGAGAGGTAAATGTGTGGGATGAAAGTGGCCAGGCGCCTTTTATCCCAAGTGTGGAACAGTAAGCCTGGTTCAGGGAATGATATCCTTACACTTGTCCCTGCTTATTTTGTAGTTTTGAATCCATAGAGGCACAAAAGGGTTAGATAACCCAAATTTACAAACAGTAGTCACCGTACTCGGGTTTTGTCAGGAATATACTTGTTTTAGATCTCACTACGTAGCTCTAGCTGACCTGGGGAGATCTGCTGGCCTCTGCCTCCCAAACAATGGGATTAAAGGTGTGCACAGCCCTGTCTGGCTCCAAGAGTTATTAAATCAGCGCATGCCTATAATCCAGGCACTGAGGAAGACAGGCTCTTCGGTCACCAGAACTTCAAGGACAAACAGTTCCATTATCAGCCAGGGCTACATAACTTTGTACCAAAAAACAACCATTACTCTTAATTATTCTTTCACTGGCCAGAAAACCCACCATCCTCAACTGAATGCATTATGTTGTAATTTAATTTCTACCTTAACTTACAATTGACAACCCTCTTGAAAACAACAGTACTTCTCTCTCCCCAAACTAACAACCATCTATTACTTAAGAGAAATGGTTTATAAATGGTATTTACACCCAAAGTGCCAAACAATTTTTTCATAAACAACTTTATTCATGACACATTATTTTAAAAAAAAATTCCCATCCCCTGGAAATGAGTTAAAAAAATAAACAAAATCCACCTCCCACCTCCCTGTTCCCACTTCCTCCCATTCCCTCCAAATAAAAGGGAAAAAAAGATAAAGAAAAAAATAAAACAAAACAAAAACACCTGAAAAACAAAAACACCCCAAAACTCCCCAAAACAAAGTAGTGCATTTCCCCAGGGGTATGGGGAATTTACACTGGAGCCACTGGGAGCGAGATCTTCCGGCTACAGAAACCTGCAAAGAAAGACACTCAAAACAGAAAAAGAAACACAAAAGGAAACAAAATAGATCACCAGGCGAACTGGAGGGGCAGGGAGCCCGAGGAAAGAAGGGTAGGGTGGGCGTAGACCTGGTAGGACAGGAGCAGGCAGGCAGGGACTGCAAAAGGCAGGGAGAAGACGAGGGAAGGAAACAAGCTGAACAGTTTGGTGTCCTTCCAGAGCCCTGGGTAAAAAAAAGCCCTCCTACCACCCGTGCCCACCTACCCTTGAGCAGGCCCACAGAGGGTGACGGGGAGCAGGGAAAACAAGGAGCAGCTTGCACAGTTGAGATGTGTCCATGGCGAATCCCCAGAGGGAATATGTAGCCCCTGCCCCACTCCCTGGGCCTTCCCCTACTCCCCAAAGCAGGTCCCTCCTCACAGTTAGTTATGGGATTCTCCCCCCTTCCACAGTATATCTTTTTTTTTTTTTTTAAATATTTTTTTTCCATCAAGGTCATCTTCTGTTTTTCTTTTTTTTTTTTAATTCTTTTTTTTCCTTCTTTCCTCTTTTTTTCCTCTCTCTCCTCCTAATACACACTTTTTTTAGTAAGGGGAATACCATGATGTCGCTCTAGCCCGGCCCCTGGAAGAAAGAAGGAGAGTTAGGTGTTAACATGGTTACTAGAGAGCTCAATGCAAGAAGACCCTCCCCGTGGGCCCGCAACTGCCCCAGTGACCGTGGGAGCATCTCAAAAATGAGTGCTCGCTCCCAGGAATAACAACTGGCAAACTGGGGGTCTTGAGGGGGAAGCAGGGTGGGGTAGAAATATATCTAAAGACACTGAGGGACAAGAAAAAGGATCCATTGTTTATCCAGTCTCCACAGCTCTTAAACCCTATCTGGTGAAAAGGCAGGGTTTATCTTAACATACAATTTAAATGCAAGGACAGAAGTAAAGCACAGCCACAATCCGGTGCCACTGGGCCCAATCAGACAGCTAACCTTGGAACACACTGGCATCTCAGTCCTCCCACAGGGCAGTGGGAGGATCAGTCTGCAGCTGGATGCTTCCAAGGAATCACACTTAAACCCTCCCTAACTCTGGGAAAAGTAGCAATGTTCAAGCAGTGCTCTCCCTACCCGAGGCTTTATCATTCTTAGTGTAAACACTTTCACTGCACCAATTCCCAAAGGAAGAAATCAGAGGGAGGAAACATCTCAGAACAACTTTGCCCTCATCAGTTTCTCCTCAAGAAAACACAGAACTGGCCTCCTGAACTGGCCTGCAACTACTTCCTCCCTCTGCACAAGCAGGAAGGCCAAGTCTCTGGAAGCCAAAAGGAGGACAAGGGAGCGAGGGTCCTCAGATCAGGAGAGAATGAAGCCTAAGGGCTCATGGGAGGCGGAGAAGAGGAGCAGCCCATCTATCCTGACCTGTAGACTCGACCCCGGGGCCTGCTGTTAAAACCGCTGTAGAATCTCGATCGGGAGCTGTTGTAATTGGTAGTCCGGGCACGGTATCGGGCACGCGGGAAACCCCGGTCTGTTGTACTGATGCCTGGTCTGTTGGTTCGTTTGGGAATCACCTGTAAAGGAGAGAGGACAGAAAGCCTTGGCTTCAAGGCAGAGAATCTGCACAGAACCCATAGCCAAGGCACTATGCTTACCTTGATTTGTCTTCCTCTAAACAGGGACTCATCTAAGGCCAGGGAAGTCCTCACTGACTCTTTGTCTGAGAACTCTATATACGCAAACCTGGAAAAAATAATTTGTCATTTTATTTGACAAATAGCTCACAGGTTAAACCCAACTTGTAACTACAATTAATTGGAATGCAACTTGGTAACATTTTTAAATGATTAAATTAGTTAAATAACAGTATTTATAGAAATTTCTAACTACTTTTGGGGATAGTGAACAAAGCTTGCAATCCCAGCTACTCAGCAGGCTGAGGCAGAAGAACCCAAGTTCAAGGCCTGCTCATCCTAGAGTTGACTAGCCTGGGTAGATTAGAGACCCTGTTTCACAATAAAGTGTGTGAAAACTCGTGTGAGTGCTGTGTGTGTGATGACTCAGTAACAGCACTTGCCCAGCATACATCCTGAGGTCCTCAGTCAATCTCCAGCACCACAAAAAGTAAAAAAGGTTAACAAGGCCCAGTTTGTAGCCATACAACCACAGCTGGTGTCAATTAGATGCCACCCCTTTCTAGTTTATAATCTCATTCCTGCCAGTCTTTAATATCTGGTTTCTGAAGATATTTAATATAAACTACTGATAGACACTTAATAGGCAGCAACAAAAACAAAACAAAACAAACAAAACTACTGTTTTAAGTTGTTTACTAGTCTATAGAAAATATGAAATGTAAGTATGGCTAGGAATAGTGGTGCATGACTTTTCTCCCAGGACTTAGGAGGTTGAGGCGAGGCAGGTGATCTTTGAAGCCAGACTGGTCTATAGAGCTAATTCCAGGATAGCCAGGGCAAGCTGGCTCTGGCTCCAGAAAAGCTCTTACCTCAAAAATAATTAAGTAAAAATAAATAAAAACCATGAGTTCACACTGCTAGCTCAACAGCAGAGCACATTCTCAGCAGTTCAAGGTCCTGGGTTCAGTTCCCAGCTTGGAGAGTGGTGGCAGTACGAAAGTCTAAATTGTTAAACCACAGATAAATGATCCCAACTTCTACTCACCCTTTAGGATGGCCACTAAATTTGTCACAGAGTATAGTGACACGGTTGACTGAACCACAACCATGAAAGTGAGCTTCCAGCTCTTCTGCTGTTGCACCATAGTCCACCTAAGGAAAGGAACATTGTACAAGTACTGGGAAAACTCCTGCTTGAACAGGTACCCTTGTCCACACAACTGTAGCCTGAGTCCATCAAATATTGTTCCCCTTTCTTCCAAGTCTAGAACCAGCATTTCATTACCTTTATTTATCTCCTCACAACCTTCCCCCCAAAACTCGAAATTGAAAACCAATTCTAGATTCATTTCAAACGTATTAAGTAACTCCCTCAAATGCTAGGAGTACACACCTTTCATCCTAGCACTTGGGAGGCAGAGGTAGGCAGATCCGAGTTTGAGGCCAGCCCACTCTACAGAGTGAATTCCAGGACAAACAGGGCTATACTGACAAAGAAACCCTGTCTTGAAAAATCAAAATAAAACCCTGTGTGGTGGTTTACATCTTTAATCCCAGGCAGAGGCAAGTGGATCTCTGTGAACTCAAGGCCGGCACAGCCTACAGAGCAACATAAAGAAAACCTGTCAACGCCCCCCCCCCCCAAACAACAAAAACGAATGCACTCCTATGTAGAGTGGTGGTGCACACCTTTAATCCCAACACCCACCACTTGGGAAGCAGAGGCAGGTAGATCTTTGTGAGTTCCAGGACATCCAGGGTTATTACAGACAAAGCCTGTTTCCAAAATTCAAAACCAACCCAAAAGGTACTTTTCTCAATGCCAATACTCAGGAGGCTAAGACTGGAGAATCACTTTGAATCAGCAGCCAGTATGGGCTATGTAACAAACCCTATCTTTTTTTTTTTTTTTTTTTTTTTTTTTGGAGACAGGGTTTCTCTGTGTAGCTTTGGCGCCTATCCTGGCACTCACTTTGGAGGCCAGGCTGGCCTCGAACTCACAGAGATCCGCCTGCTTCTGCCTCCCGAGTGCTGGGACTAAAGGCGTGCACAACCAACGCTGGGCACAAACCCTATCTTTGGAAAAAAAAACAAAACAAAACCAAATCAGACTCTTCCTCCATACATACATTGCCAACGTAGATAGAACGGGCATCAGCCTCCATCTTCTCCTCAAGAGACATGATCACTGGGCCAGCTTGGAGGAAAAAAAAAATTTAAGCAGGCATATTTTCTGTTGGATCAATACATATATACCCCCACCCCCATTAGGCTAAGGTCTGTTCTACTATACCTATTACCTAGAAAAGTGCTCAGCATAGGTTTCAATATGTATTTGAGAAACTACCCTCTCAAAAAAAAAAAATCATATTTAAGAATTTACATTTTCCAAATCAAGGTTCTATTGCATTGCTTTGGCTGAAATGCCTCAAGAGTGAGCAAAACTGAATGGATTGAGCTCTGACATTTCTAGATTAAAGAAGTCCCCGACAGTCATCAGTAACCTCTAAAGGATCTCTAACTGAAAAGTATTAGACTTGAAGGTCAAACGCCAGCTGGCGATCTCCACAAGAAGGGTATAGACAGACTAAGAACAAAGACAAACACATTTATAAATGAGACAAAGGAAGACACAAGAGTATCGCCATCAAAACAGCTCATGTCTAACAAAGGTCAGCAGAACACACAATGGACTATGACCACAGCCCCTGGCCAGAAGAATTACTCAGACAAGCAGCTTCAAGGTCCCGAGCCTCTAAAGCCACATTGCCGGTCTCCCCCCCAACCCCCAACCGACCCAAAGACCCGGACTGTACGTGCAATAGCGGATTCACTCACTCACTCACCATTGCCTGGGGGTGGACTCATATTCATCTGCTTCTCTACCTCGTTTTGTAGCTCCTTTAGCTTCTCAGCCTCTTCCTCCATCTCCCTGACTCGGGCTTTGATCGCTTCTAGCTCCTACAATGAGTGAGCAGGGCATGCAGAAGGTTAACCACGGCAGGGAGTGTG